AAGTAATAGTGACCTAAGTAAATACTTCGAGTTATCCGATGTTCGACAGAACCGTATAGTGACAGCTAAGGACAGAATACTCATTTAACAAGTTTTTCTTCGAGACATATGTTATTTCGACACATCAAGCTCGACGCAGTGGTGTTTAAGTGTGACCTTTGGTATTGCTTCGTATGAATGTAAGCTTTATCCTGTGCATGGAAATGTTATTTCTTGGTTGTTCATTAAAAACAGAAATAAATGTATGTCTATACGTTCTGGGTTAACCTTCGCGTCTGGGTTAACCTTCGCGTCTGGGTTAACTTCCGCGTCTGGGTTAACCTTCGCGTCTGGGTTAACCTTCGCGTCTGGGTTAACCTTCGCGTCTGGGTTAACTTTCGCGTCTGGGTTAACTTTCGCGTCTAGGTTAACCTCTCTGCCACAGCTGGATATTTGGCATGTCGGTTTGCTTGTCCATCAGGAGAGCGCAGATTGTGTGAACAACGTAAATTGTATGAACAAAATATATTTGTATCTTTTCGGATATTGAGTGTGTGTTTGCTGCATATGAACAGCTGTTGTTCAATAGGCCGTTGTTTGGTTTCCAGAAATATACACGGTTCAGTGTCAAGCCGAATTTGAGCCGTCGTGAGACTGTAGTTCGATGCGTGTGTACACCGATTCTTGACATAAATTCTTGAAAACATTTCACAAATATTTGCCCCCTGCCGAGTGGAATATTGATTAAAGTGGCAAGACCACATACGGGGCCTCGGCAGGTGAGGCGCCATATATCGACGCCACTGACTGTAATCGACAAGGTCAAATTACATGTTTTGTAGCACCGTGTTCGGATCTCATCAGATTTATGTAATTCGTAATAACATATGATAGACTTGACGACACATTATGACATCATGTAATCCCATTACTTGACACAGTATCTATCGACTACTAGTAAGGTGCCGGGTTTTCATATTCGGGGTATTCTCTATCGAGTAGATGGTAGTTATCGGCAGAAAAGGCTCACTGACTATCTAGTGAATTATGCTGGATTTCAACTTTGTATCGCAATATAAATACATGTATGCGATGTTTACGTTTGGGACCTGTTGCAAATATGGTTGCGCAACAGAGAGAAAAATGACGAGTCTTCTTATTTGCAAGCGAAGCGAGCAAAGGTTGGCAACGTACTTCCGTCCTTCGCTCCGTTGAACCGGAAGCTGGCAGGGGTAATGGAGGCGAAGAACGATTTGATATGCCCGTGGCGCTTAAAATATTGAATGAAATATATTTTGCGTGTGTAATTATTGAATATGAGATTGGAAATCTGAGAGCAGGACCCTGTGAGGAAATGGGTTTCTACATTTGATGGTAGCGATGTCATATATTGACATTAAACATATTTTTCGAACCGAAGAGAGGGAAGCAAGTTGACACCTTTGCTCGCATAAGTAGTATAAAGGGAAGACTGGTAATGCTTCTCTCTGTTGCGCGACCCTATTTGCGCTACAATATTTCCCTGTGGGTGGGGTATGTATGCCCTTTCTTCCATACGTTGTTGGTTCAACAAGCCATAGATAGATAGATAGATTGGCTTTATTTCCTCCAGATATGAAGATTACAAGCTTTTAAACATCACATGATATTTACAGACAAGTGAATATATGAATGCACCTGTGGGTGGGGTATGTATGCCCTTCTCTTCCATACGTTGTTGGTTCAACAAGCCATATCCGACTAGTTCTCTGTCTAACAGTCACTGTAGAACTCAAATCCAGAAGAATTCTTCGTGGCTGCTTATTTATTCACTCAATCGATCACTCATTTATTTATCTATTCTTTACATTATTCTATAGATGCGTATTTTTTTATTAGGATAACCAACTTACTGTGATTAAATATCCGTCGACCCGTGAAGATCCGGGCTAAAAATTGATCTTCAGCAAACCATGCTTGTCGTAAGAGGCGACTAACGGGATCGGGTGATCAGATTCGTTGACTTGATTGACACTTCATCATATCTCATCGTAGATAGATGCGGATGCTGTTGATCACTGGATTGTTTGGTCCCAGACTCGATTATTTACAGACCGGGATATTGCTGAGTGGGGCGTTCATCAACACACCAACCAAACAAACATCAGTGACTGTCTGACAGGCACGCAAAAGAGTTGGCAGATATGACCACGTGTCCGCTGATCATGTGACCAGCGTTCTGACCCTCCCGTCCGCCGGGGTAAAAGTACAATGTCATGTCGTCAGTGCACTGTTATCTGTCATGGTCTGTGATCGTTCCATGACATGCCCATAGGCGAATTTACATACGCGCAAAGAACCGTTCCACTGACCCGAGTTTTGATTAATTAGTTTGGGTCTCACTTTGATGCAAGGGCAACGTGGGTGAAATTAAAGACAGAACCAATTGAGTAGGGTTCGTGGAAATGTCAAACCGAACTTTGGTTTGACATGAATGTTGATATACATGGTGCAGTCAGTTTGCCAGTAATCAGGTTTGCGTGTTTTAATACTTGGACCGTGTTCCATAAAGCGATCATAGCGCTAAGGCGAGCGTAACTCACACCACAGGCAAACTGTAGCGCAAACAGGGTTGCGCAACAAAGACAAATGACCAGTCTTCGTATCGCGCGCATATACGAAGACTGGTCATTTTCTCTTTGATGCGCAACCCTGTTTGCGCTACAGTTTGCCTGTGCTCACACACATTACCACAGTCTTACGACTGACGTAGCTACGATAGTTATTTGGAAAGGTGCATTTTTCCACTGATGTATAAATGAAAGAAAATGCGAGAAAATATAATATGCTCCTGCAAGACATTTATTTATGTTCTTTTCATGCAATAGACATTCATAGAATGGTTCTTGAAGAATTCACATGTTCCTTAAAGATCACATAAAAATATACTTCTCAGTCGGAATGGTCATACAATGGTAACACAATGTAATACGTAGTAACAGATGTTCTTGATGCATGCATGCGTACGTGAGTGCGTGCGTGTATATGTGTGTGAGGGAAAGACACATTTAGATTAATCTAAACCTTGCAATGAGGGTTTCACCATCCAAGGCTCGGACTCGAGGCTCGGCAATCGCTATGTTCCACCATACTTGTGAAGCTTTCGAACATCCTTACTGAATTACTGCTGATGAACAAACCCGTAAACATCCTGGTTTAAACCACCTCTTCTGCAACCCATGCTTGTCGTAAGGGGCGACTAACGGGATCGGATGGTCAGGCTCGCTGACTGGTTGACACATGTTATAGTATCCCAGTTGCGCAGATCGATGCTCATGATGGTGATGACTTTCCATACTCGATAATTTGCAGACCGTGCGGCGTTAAACAACAAACAAACAAACAACACTGATGAAGCTCTTGTGACTGGTGGGTGCTTCCAGTGAGTAAGTTTAGTTTTACGCCGCACTCAGTATTATTCCAGCTATATGGTGGTGGGGCCTCCAGCAGAGAAAGATGAGCTTACTATAACCCAGAACACCTGGTGTCATCGCTGGTGTTATCCTTCTCAGTTATCCTTTCATAAAATGTTGCCTTTCACGCACATTGATGCAAATAGCTCGTCGACAAACATTACGCACAGCCTACCGTGTTTGCAGGCGTCATCATTCACGGTGACGTGATGCGTTACATTACGTAAAAGGGTATTATGACGATTTTTAAATTTCTGTGTCGAAACATATCACAGTGACAAAACAAACATTATAGCCTGACTTGCACGTCATTTCTGTGTCACATATCACAGTCCGCTTACGTAAGAGTCCGCTCAGGTAAACATCAACAAGGGACGAAATGGATCTCTAAAATTAAACTCTGCAGCTTCCCAACCATGAATGAATACAATCATTTTAAGTGGAACGTGATTCTATCATTCGATATTTCAAACACAACAGCAAGGCGCGAGCGATCGATTATACTTGAATCGTGGTAGTATTTCAGACTTGGCACGTTAAGGTGCACGTGCAGCCCAGATACCCGATGGCGCATGATATAATTGTCTTATTGTCGGATTATAACCCTGTCAAAAGAAAAAATGAGCCTTGATGATTTTGAACTGGATTGTTGATCAAAAAGTAAAACATTTAAAGGATGCTATATAGTTAAACATTTAAACGGAACAAAGATATAAACAATTACATAGAACCAACTCATCCAAACAGTTCTCTAAATACATTCAATGATGCAAAACATTTCACGGAACAAAGAAACGACAAATAAAGAACCAACAAGGAAAAGTTCTCTTAATCTTCCCATATGCGAGCGCAAGCAGGGTTGCGCAACGAAGAGAAAATGACCAGTCTTCCAAAATGCGAGCGAACCCTATTTGCGCTACAATTTGCCTGTGTGTACACACACTGTACAATCTATTTAATATCATTGGACAGTTTCAACGGTTATCAAAAACGTTCAGTATGAAAATATATAGAGATTTGACAATAAAATGTATTCTCTGCTTTCGTTGTTGTAGGTACTTTAGACGCACTGATGCTGATTATGTCAGCCCTTATAGAAACAAGACGGGCATGTCTAATCTGTCCAGTTCGGACTTAATAGACATAAAGATAAATGTATTATTGAATATGCTAATACACACAGCATTATAACAATATTCATAACGACATATGACAACCAAGAAACCGGACAACATATTTTCTCTCCATATGTTGAAGGGGTGACAGCCCAGTGGCATGAGTTCCATATGACGTCCGCTTGACGTCCGCTTTACATGGCGCAGGTCCGGGTTTGATTCGGACCAATTTGAAGCCCATTTTTGTGTTGCCCGCTATGACTTTGCAGGAATATTACCAGAAGCGGCATAAGAGCACACCAACTAATTCTTTATTTCTTTTTCAATCTACCGTCCTTTATACTTTATCTGTGTATACCGTGGCGTTTGACTGGGAGAGTTTTCAAACGCACGGTTTCCATAGTTCTTCTTGATCTTTGACCAAGAATTTGGGACCTTGAAATAATCAGTGCACGTTAACATGACAGAAAGAGAAATTGGTTCCTGAAATTATAACGACGTTGTCTCCGAACATGCCATGGTTCCAGGCATGGTACAATGTCACTTCGTTGCGGTAATACGTACCATGAGTATCGACGTGCACGATGCGATACTGTGATTGCCAAGAAAACTTCGATATCCCACAATGAGTAAGATCATTGTAGCCTTGACTCCATGTTACAATATGTAAATTTTCTTCGGTGTGAAGAAATTGTAATGTCACTGTACATATTTTCATTTCCTTTGTTGTTCCTGTCTTGATACATGAAGAGTATTTTGACTGGGTCCATATCTGTTGCCACCCTCGGGAATGTTGACGTCATCTCTGTTTCCGCTAGCGCCAGCATCGCTTTGATTATTCCGCAGCGTCGTCATGGAATTGCTCGGGCGGATTCTGTTTCGACGTTGAAGCAGTTCCTTTAACGTGTTTCTGAAGCGAGAACCACTGATGCAGTACAATAAAAAGTTAACAGAATTGTTGGTATACATCAGTGTATTAGAAATTGCCCATATAAGGGACAGAACTGCTTCGCAGTGTGGTGTGGTGTCCACCGTCCAGTAAGGTTCCCCAATAAGGTACACGCTGATGGGAGCGGTACACACAAAGAACACCAGATTCAGAGCCAGGAGCATCATTGTCATAGACGACGTCTTTTTGTCTTGATATCGTTCGTGGTTCGATGTTGTTGTAAACATCTCAGGGTTTATTCGCCGAGCATTCCTCTTTCTGGATACAACTTTCTGGGCGATGGAAATATTGGCAATAATGAGCACGGTCAGTGGTATGAAGGAAAACACACACAGGTCAATCCATGGCCAGACACGTGACTGGAAGTGGTCGTAACCCTCCCAAAGTGAAGCACAGCGTTCGATGTTCGCAGCGCCACCTATCGTCGTCTGAACGTCCCCAAGGCCGTACAAGAAGTGCGAGTTGAGCACCAACAACAAGACTGCTATGACTGCAATGTTTACGAATGCTGTACATCGTGTGTAGTACTTCTTCACCGTGTACGGATACATCACCGACACAAATCTCTCAACGGTGACGGAAACGAGAAGCCAGACTGACATGTCGAGGGTGAAATACACCATCCAGATGTGGATCTTGCAGGACATCTCGCTGATGACCCGGATGTCCAGTGGATGACCACACGCAGCCATTGGCGCAGAAGACCAGTATAGAGAACCAAAATGTCCATTACAGACAAAGCTGTGAGATAGATGGACACCGTGGAGTCCCTCATGGACTTCCTGTTGAGGACTATAATGGACAACACGTTACCGATAGTTCCGAGAATCATTAATACGGGTGGGAAGATGGACCACACCCATCTACCCGCCTTGTATTCAACATACTGGGTGTAGTCGTCGGTCGGTGCTGGTGTAACGTTGGAGATAGCCATAGTGTTCATTGTCGTTGGGATGTATACTTGGTTTCAAGTTGAGGGCCAAATGTCCGCAACGTTCGATAACTATCACCACTAATCACAGCATGTTCTTGAAATGTCACAGTGCGGATAGACACAACGATATGTCTTAAGAAACATCTTATATTGGCCGCAAAAAGACGTCATTTGTATTCATATGATATTGCAGTGGTTCGATTCAGAAGATTTTCCTTGATTTGTGACGTGATATGATATTGATAAATCTAAGCCAGTTAAGTGATTGGCCTCGTTATTCTGACAACAGGGAACGGATTCCCAAGGGATCAGTAGCAATCATTGTATTGGTATTTCCTGCATACGGGAAGTCTCATAAATCAAACAGGAGGAATATTTCAGTGATGCCTACATTGCCATCATTATGGGTGAGGTTAGATAACTGTCAATCAAAACTTTGGTCTGAATATCAAGTTCTTGTAGGTCAGCGCTGATGTTTGCATGGCGGACACTGAGAAAGTTGATGATAGATCAACGGGTCACTCGCATTTGGTTTACATATAAGGTAACTGAATATCAAAGACCAGGTTCAACCCTCTTTCACCAGTAGTGGTAGCTCATTGGTGGTTGGTGACATAAAGTATCACTGTTTTAATACTGCTGGCGATATGATGTGCCTCTTAGTAAACTGATTCAGGTTTCTTGTCTGGACGATGATATATCACCTAACGGATGAGCACTCCCATTATTATGAGATACTCCGAGACATGGTTGTCAGGATGTCATTTCATGCAGGCTGGTACAATTAGAAGCCCTGTATTTCTCGTAGGTTATGGAAGCGAAAAATATATTTGTCGATTAAATACTGAGATAATAATTCAAAACTGACTACAACAGCTGAAAATAGCATCGTCTGTGTATTAACGTGTTCTCAAGTCAGGGATCTGATGTGAGGGATCGATCTGGTATTTTTTTCTTCAGGTCAGCGAGACTGGCCCAGATGCCACAATGGCAGAACAATCAATTCCTTGGTGATTATGTGAACATGATATATTAGCTTTCTGGTGCATAAGAGCTCCCTTAATATTGATTGTCATTTCCATGTGCATCTTCTATGTGTCTCAGCTCCGATGTGAAATGTTATGAAGAGTCAGTCGAAAAACGTTCCCACTTAATGGCCACATTGTGTCCGGCCATGTGATTGGTCAGTCTTGGAATGGGAGTGGCAGCGTCACGTCCATCTTCAGTGGTTGTTAGGGTCACGTGTTCCGTGTCTGAGCAATGTCGGATCTGAAAACAAAATAAACCCAACAGTGCTGTCAAAAAGTGGATTGGTTGTCGTAATGTCATACATGTAACACATCCCGTGTTAAACCTGGAACCATATGTCCGAACATGACCATCTCTGCAACCGGTCCAAGATATCAATATTAAAATAAATATTTACCATTAAAACGAAAGATTGAAATGATAAATATTTCGATCGACGAGCAAGGTCTGTAATATATTACTTTCATGCCGATGTGTCGATAACATATGTTTCGTCGCTATCAATCCAAGCCACACCGACACGTTAACAATGTCACATTTGTCAATATTGCATATCACCGACATTGAATATTATGGTCTTAAACTTGCAATTCGCTGTGCATATTTGCCATGCAATGCATTTATGGCGAAATCTGAATCCAAGAACCCATTTTTATGATACATGATTTGTAAACGTAATTCACGTACTTCACTATTTCGATAAAGTTATGCAGCTGAGTGAGTGAGTGAGTGAGTGAGTTTAGTTTTTCGCCGCGTTTAGCAATAATTTAAATTAAGCCTCTGGCCAATATGAAAAATTTACCTTACCTGTTGTACCCTTATGTTTTGGTGTCCTGTTAAACTCAGCTTAAGTCCTAAGAAATTTCATTTGTTTATATTTTTGTTTGTTTTTTATTGTTAACGTCACACTCAACAATATTCCAGCTATATGAGTTTACAAAAAAAATCCATTTTTAACCAGCCATTCCAATGGCTGAAATCAAGAGCATTGATCTCAGCTGTTAGGATATGTGACGTACATCACTCAAGTTGTCAGCCTTTCCGACCGATCAATATGCTTGCCTCTTACAACCAGCATCGGCTGCTGGGGGCCTAACCCGGAATCCAAAAAAACCCAAGTGTTTGCCACTAATAAGGCAATGTCCCCGCCGCTAAAGAAGAACAAAATATTTATATATTTACTACTTGTTTATATCTTTGTCAGATAAAAGATGCCTGAAATGACTGGTGTCTGTATAATCACCCAATGTAGGCTGTCAACATAATTGAAAACACTGGGTACAACGGTTCATGAGATATCGCGTTAACAAGGGTTTAAAAAGTGGTCAAAGTGGCGTGCTGACCTTGAAAATAAGGTCAAGGTCACCCAAAATTGACTGGTGTCTACGTAATCCCCTAATGTAGGCTGTCACCAAATTTGAAGACATTGGGTACAATAGTTCCTCGGGATACTGCGTTAATAAGAGTTTGAAAAGTGGTCTAAGTGGCGCAGTGACCTTGAAAATAAGGTCAATCCTACAGTGTAGGCTGTCACCAAATTTGAGGACATTGGGTACAATAGTTCCTCGGGATACTGCGTTAATAAGAGTTTGAAAAGTGGTCTAAGTGGCGCAGTGACCTTGAAAATAAGGTCAATCCTAAAGTGTAGGCTGTCACCAAATTTGAGGACATTGGGTACAATAGTTCATGAGATATTGCGTTAACAAGAGTTTGAAAAGTGTGACCTTGAAAATAAGGTCAAGGTCACCAAAATCGACTGGTGTCTGCGTAATCCCCTAAAGTAGGCTGTCACCAAATTTGAAGACATTGGGTACAACAGTTCATGAGATATCGCGTTAACAAGAATCGGGACGGACCGGCGGACGGACGTACGGACGCTGCTGAATAAATAGTTCCCCGTTCCGCGTTGCGGCGGGGGACAAAAATGAAATGTCCAACTCAAGTCCAACTCAAGTCTAGAATGATTGGGGAAGTTTTGATTGCCTCAGCTCTTGGCTGAACTAGTGGACGTTTCTGGGGTCACTCACTCACTCCAGAACACCAAGAATTAAGACATCCATCCATCCCCTTGAGACATTCACTCACTCACTCACTCATTACTCCAGAACACCAAGAATTAAGATTTTCATCCCTTTGAGGCATTCACTTACTCACTCACTCATTACTCACTCACTCCAGAACACCAAGAATTAAGACATCCATCCATTCGAGACATTCACTCACACTCACTCATTACTCCAGAACACCACGAACCAAGAATTAAGATTTTCAGGCATTGAGGCATCGCTCACTTACTACTCACTCACTCCGGAACACCAAGAATTAACACATCCATCCCTTTGAGACATTCACTCTCACTCACTCACTCACCTCACCCACACTCACTCACTCACTCCAGAATACCAAGAGTTAAGACTTGCATCCTTTGAGATACTGACGTGAGATTATACGACACTGGTTACAAGGATCAGTGAGATCAAACATTGCCAATCAGTAGTTATACGTAGATAAATATTCGACATTCTCAGGTACCTTCTAGTCACATTAGAATATTATGTCATAATAAACTTTTCAGTTCTCGGCAGGGATTCTTGTAGGGTCTACTCCCATTTGTGAGAACTCCCAGTTGTGAGACTCCCAGTTATGAGACAGTGGAGTCGGTAATTAGCAACGAAAACACACCATACTCCCCTGCCTGATAGAATAGATTCACCCTAGCTAATTACTGATTTGCTATGTAACTGAATCTTGTGGCGGTAACTTAATGAAACTTTATAAGATAAATTAATTAACATACTCAGGTAAATGTCTTTAATAATTAAACACTTTGTGTAGGTAACTTCGTGATCAAAGAGAAAGTAATTTATCTACTCAGATTTACTCCGTCTCCGAAACTACAAGCTATAGTTTAAGAAATAACTCTGAAATAACTCTGAAATTTACAGTCGAAATGCCCCTTATGCCAAACCCTTTCTACCCGACACAATAAATTTATGGAATGCCCTACCAAATTCCAAAGAGTCATGCAGTCTCAAAGAATTTTAAAACCTAATTACAAAAACCAAAAACAAGATTTATATTGATCTTAATTATGGCTCTTGTTTTTGTCAAAACGTTCATTGCTGGCTCAAGCTCGGATCTAGCGACCCAAACGCCGATAGGTATAACAGACATTTAATAAACAGTGCATGGTGCTCTTGGGGATATCAACTACCCGTTATAACCTGGATAATTTTTGAACGGAAACAAAGAATTTACTCCTCGTGTAAACCAGAAAATAGTTGAATCCGTCCACGATTATATCATCACAACCTTCCAATTTTCACAGGGAAATACTGAAATTAACTAAACAACCTTCTCGTGATTGATTTATATTCCTACAATAGCTTGTTAGACACACACAACTGTAAGTCTCTAATTATGACTACTTAGAGAATAGTTGTATTTGATGTAATCTGTATATATCTATATGTACTTAAAAATATATTTATGCAATAGTCAATATCGATGACGTCACATCCTCCATTGCATTTTATGTTTTATGTTGCATGGGAGCGGTGTTAACATAAGCAGTAATACTTCACCAATCCCAATTCATATTCATAAATAATAATAAAATATGTTTAAACCAAAATGACTTTCAAACTTCATAATAGTCAATACAAATGTGTTATCATAATTACATATTCTTCTGAATAAATAAAATATTCAATGAACTATTTCTTCTGTGTAAATATAATCTTTGATAATCTATTTCATTAATCTACTCATCAATGAACTATGCCTCCTGTGGGTACTGGGCTGGGCTGATCCCACTTTCATTGTAGGGATGTGGAAACACCACCTATGTGCACTGAACCATTAATTAATGTGTCTCACAACTGGGAGTTCTCACAAATGGGAGAACACCTCTTGTAGAGTTCATGGGCTGCTTCTATATTATGTTCAGGACTCTGTTTTGCTAGTAACCCATGCATAAACATGTCAACACTCACTTTTTATGCATTTTTGCGCAAAGTTACTTCTTCGATATCTATCGATATTTGACCGCCTCCGTGGTGTAGTGGTTAGAGCGTCCGCCCGGAGAGCGGAAAGTCGCGGGTTCGATCCCCGACCGCGTCAAACCAAAAGACGTTAAAATATGGTACTTGTTGGTCCCTGCCTGACGCTCGGCATTAAGTGTACAAAAGGACTGGTCCTATATCGAGTCAGTATAAGTCTGAGTGGGGTATTCATGCTTCACTACGGCATGGTATCTCAGTGGGCTAGCACTATAAAACCAGCTTAAGTCTGGGCTAGTACAAGCAGCCAGACATACACATACACACGCATAATATTCCAGCTATATGGCGGCGGTCTGTAAATAATCGAGTCTGGATCACACGATCTAGTGATCAACAACATGAACATGGATCTACGCAATTGGGATACGATGACATGTGTCAACCAAGTCAGCGAGCCTGACCACCCGACCCCATTAGTCGCCTTT